GATATTTTTGCGAATTTTTATGTTTTCGAGTACCTAAATTACGAATATATTCATGAAAATGCTGAATGTGCTCTTTTTTTTATGATTTTTACGTATCTTATATTTTGATCAATTATCAGCTTGTTAGTACTAAAATTTGTTTTTCCAGTCCTGATTAAGCTTCTGCGCAACTTTTTTGTGCATACAAACATCACTTGATCTCCACTCTCAGACTCCTTGTTCCGCAAAACAGCTGATAACTCAGTTATTTGATAATATTGAAGTACTTACACGTGAATCTGGTTAAGTTGTCATATGTTAATATTTTGATTCAATTGCTGAGTGTTCATTCTAATATATTTGTCTTGTCTTTTTAAACATGAGTTCGTCACGAATAAAGTGTAAATATAGTAGTGATTTATTTTGTTATATTTGTGGTATTTATATATTAAAAAAACAAAAACGACATATCACAGACTTTGTTAAGGAGACTTATGCTGAATATTTCGGTTTTAAAATGGACAAATTAGATGAATCATGGGTTCCGAATAAAGTTTGTATTTCCTGTGTTGAGTCTTTGCGGTTGTGGAAAAAAGGAGAATGTTCTGGATTAGACTTTGGTATTCCTTTGATCTGGATGGAGCCTAAGAATCATGTTGATGATTGTTACTTTTGCGTAGTAGATGCTAAAGGTTTTAATCGAAACCAAACGTGGAGATATTCAGACTTACAGTCTACAAAATGTCCTGTTTTACACAGTGAAACTCTCCCTCGGCCTGTTTACGTTTAAAAAAGGATTCGCATGTTCTCAGAAACAATGATGTTGCCGAATTCACAGAAATCGAAACAGTCTACTAGTGGAAGTGAATGGGAGGGTGAAACATCTACGCCAAAGTTATTTTCTCAAAATGAACTCAGTGATTTGATACGGGATCTAAATTTATCAAAATAGGAATCAGAACTGTTAGCCTCAAGATTGAAAGAAAAAAATTTATTTGCACCAACAGTAACAATTACAACATACAGAACGCGAGAAAGTTAGCTATTACAATTTTTTGATGAAAATGAAGGACTGGTATATTGTACTGATATTGCGAAGCTGCTTTTAGACATGGGCTTGGAAGAATACAAACCTACTGAGTGGCGTCTTTTTTATTGACAGCTGTAAAAGAAGTTTAAATTGCGTTTTACTGCACAATGGAAATAAATTTGCATCATTTCCAATTGCCCATTCAACAAAACTCAAAGAAGGATATGAAAATGTAAAATTAGTTTTAGAAAAAATTAAATACTCGGAGCATCAATGGCCGATCTGTGTAGATTTGAAAATGGTTAATTTTTTACTTGGTCAACAAAGTGGATACACGAAATACCCTTTCTTCCTTTGTATGTGGGACAGTAGAGCAAAGCAACTTCATTGGGAACAAGATGTTTGGCCTGCAAGAAATTCTCTAACTGTCGGTAAAGCCAATGTCATAAGGGAACCGTTGGTGAACAGAGACAAAATCATACTTTCACCATTACATATTAAGTTAGGAATGGAAAAGCAATTCGTTAAAGATTTGGACAAGGAAGGGGATTTTTTTAAATACATTTGTCGAAAATTTCTGAAGCTTAGTATGGAAAAGTTGAAAGGTGGAATATTTGATGGTCCTCAAATACGGCAATTGATATAAGACGCAGATTTTATTAAAGTTATGACTGTTCCGGAAAGTGAAGTTTGGGAAAGTTTTGTGTTGGTAGTCGAAAATTTCCTAGGTAACCATAAAGCACTAAATTATGAAGAAATTGTACAAAATATGCTGACAAACTTTCAGACTCTAGGAGCAAATATGAGTATCAATTTACACTATCTCCGCAATCATTTGGATAAATTTCTAGATAATTTAGGAAATTATAGTGAGGAACAAGAAAGCGGTTCCACTAGGATCTGAAAGTAATGGAAGAAAGATATCAGGGTCGATGGGACTGTTATATGATGGCAGATTACTGCTGGTCTTTAAAAAGAGATTGTCCCCGGAAAAATTATAAAAGAAAAGCTCTTAAAAGGCGTTTTATGGAAATATAACATGTTTTCCAAATTTTCCTCTCTATTTACTTCGATATATCATATTTTTATCCAAATAAAACTGACATTATAAATATATCTGTTATTTTGTTTCTCGTTTTCCGATTTTTGTAATGTAAAATAAAAATAAGTATTTAAAAAAAAACGAAAGCAAATCTTACAAAATCATTCATAATTTCATGAATTGTGAGTATAAATATATCCAAAATCAATCTTATGTCTAGGGCAACAAAACCACTGTAGACCAGTGTATTTGAATTGTATTTTACTATATATTCTATATACTATTGTCTGATTATACTACACAAGTTGCTGCTGCGCTCACAGCGCCATCGGCCCTAAAGACCCTGACTCAGAAACTATCCTACTATTATTTTATACATACGAGTGCGGACCCCCTACTGGTAGCAGTTTCTCTTTTGCCGCAGGTGTGTGTGTGTGTGTGTGTGTGTGTGTGTGTGTAAATCTCTTATAACTTCTGAACGACTTGACCGATTTGATCGCAGTTAGTGTCATTCGAAAGGGCTTCGCCAAACTTAGATTTCCTGAGAGTCGGAACCGATCCGGACGGGTAGATTTCGAGAAAATGCAAAAAAAGTGAAAAAAAAAGGTTTCTTTTTTTCATTTTTTCAAAATATCTCCAAATTGGCTGAACCGATTGACCTCAAAAACTAATCAGCTCTTAACCGTGAATACCCGCATCGATCGCCACTAAGTGCATCAGAATCGATTGATAGGTTCGTACGATATCGTTGTCGAAAAAAATCGAAAGAAGTGTTTTTTTGTAATAATTCCGAAATTTTTTATCAGATTAATTTTTCTTTTAATTTTTTATAGAGCTAAAAAAACTTCAACGATCGCTGCCAACCGCGTGACAATTGATTGATTTATTCAAAAGTTATAGCAGTTCGAAAATCAAAAAAATCGTGTTTCATTGACTTTTGATAAGACTTTTGAGCTCGAAGAGCTCAAAAGCATAGGAAAGCTATCTCTTTGAGCTCGGAGAGTTCAAAATAACTCATAAATTGTATTTTTGTGTTCGAAGAGCTCAAAAACGTCATAAGTACAATTTTGAGCGCCTATGTACGGAATTAGCGGGAAGTTGCAGGGATGGCCTTTAGGGTCAACCGTTTTCCTAATTTTTTTTTATCATGTTGAACAACTTTCCTGGTCATTAGTTTAATTAATAAAAGATAATTAAAACTGAATTGATGGTAAAAACATTATTTTCCTAAACATAAATAATTATTAGCCACTCTGTAAAATTATTTTGAAATCACATCAGTAAGAAATAACATGCTAAGTTAAAAAAAACATTTTTTTTAAGTAAATAATAGTTTTTTATAGCAAAAAAACTTTTTTTTTCATACAACTTTAACGTTTAATATAATTCTGATGATAATTTTTTAAAAACATAATTATTTTAACGAATTAAAAAGAAAATCTATTGAAAATTTCATTTGTCATACGCCGTGACAATTCAAACGGACCCAGCGGCGCGCGCAACTTTCCCCACTCGAGAGCTGCGCTGACTGTGTCGGTAGCTAGCTCAGCTGTTAGGCAAGTTTATTTATTTATTTCTATAATTTTATTATTTCGTTATCAAAAATTAATTTTTTTATAGAAAATTTCGGCTTCCCAATTTTAAAACACTGTAACTGCATAATTTTTATACCTGATTTGTTTCTAGTATTGCTGCATTTTTTATAACTTTTATACCTTAATTTCAAGTATTTTTTCTTAAAAATATTTATATTTAAGTATTTCCTATTCATAAATCAAATTTGTCATTAATTTGGCGGCAAACGTTTTTTTAATAAGAAAAGTTGAAAAAATTTTTAAATGTTAGTTACTGTATTTTGAAATTGGGCAGCCGATTTGTGACCAATAGATTCAGAAAAGATTGAACTTTTTTATTATTAAAATTTAAACAACTTCACGGAAAAAGTATTTTCGTACATATTGATTGAAGGCAGCTGAAACATTTTTTGGAACAGTTTATTATAAATGAAAAAAATAATCGGCAACGAAAATTTCTATGCAAATTGCACCATTGGATTCCATGAATTTTTTTGCATTTTCAATAAAAATAGACTTTGGCAATTACTTCAACAAAAGTTTCGTCATGGGGACAGTCTACTAAAAATGATGTTGGCAGATTATTAAGACCTCTGTCGTCATATTTTTAACTGATCAATCAAAGACATTAAGAACTCGTGCATTAAATATTTATTGTTGTAATATTAAGACCACGGCAATGAATTGGGATTCAGGAAAATCATGAATAAGAAATAAGAATGGATAATTAGACAATAAAATTGGAAAGTTAATTCATAAGGTTGGATATTATTGTGTTAATTTTAAAATTGGAAAATAGTGTGGGTGCATGTGTGTAAAGAGGACTACTCCGGTTTCATGGTATCCTCCTCATGGAATAGCGTGGACAAAGATAGAGTAGCGTGACGGCCAGTTGACGGCGGGCACTGCAGCTACGTGAAGGTCAGCTGGACAGCGTAAAATATCACCGTTTAAGAGTTGTGTATGTGTAAGCGAGTAATATTGATTGTTATTAAATGTTGTGTAAGGAGGTATTATGATTGTAAAAGGATAAGTTAAATAAATAATTTTAGAAAACAAATTTCTCTGTAATAATTTTAAAATTTCCTAGCGAATCTCTCACGACCTTGCTGACTCTCTCTATGCTCGGGTCCAGTTTCTGGAAACTAAAAACTAAATTTCAGTGGTGCCCTAAATAAGTAATCGCGGCAACTAAAGACGAACGAAATCCCGATTAAAATTTTATATTTACCTTGTTTTTTATTCTTTTATCCAGTAAATACCGATCAATCAGCAAATTAATGATTCTTGCAGTTTTTCTATTCTGAAAAAAGTTTAATCTTATAGTTTACAGAACAATACTACTCTTAAAAAAAAGTTATATGAATTAACATACTTGTTTTATGATTTCCGTAGCATTAGAAGTCATCATAAGGAACAAAAAAATATTGCGCAGTAAAAACAATCCATATTCGTACAACCGAAGATCAATTTCTTGTATGTGAATCAAAATTAAAATAATGTAGTAAAAATTAAAGATACTTCGAATTGAAAAAATAATAATTACTATCAAAATAGGAAGTCCAAAGAAACTCATTATGCCGTCACTTATTTCACAAATTTCAACATAATCGCGCTTGATGATAAAGATGTCGTTAAGAACTGACTCTCGTGATAGCAGTATTTTGTTGTCAGTGGTGCCCAACTTCGAAAGAGTATTGTTAACACTTGTAATTCTTACTTTGATCATATTCAAGAACATTACAAACTGAACAATCAGCCAACTACTGATGAAATACGGTAGACTAATCACAAATACCTTGGCAGAAGACAAGTAGTACAGCACCCTCAGAACTATGATGCCAGAAGTCAATAACGAAGTCATAGTAAATATTAAGTAGTTATTATTGCTATCATCCACGCTGTAATCCGAACAATCGCTTAATGTTCGGTTGACACCTTCGAAGCGATTGTTCATATTGACCAACAACTTCTGCCGAAAAACATAAATTATGGGTATTATACTCGCACAAATGATCGAAACAAATGAAAGTTTTACTGTCACTGTTTCTAATGTAAGTCGTGTGCTATTTTCCATTAATGACAAATGGTATATGATCCAGATATCGGTTATAAGCATTAACGTAACCAAAAAAACATTGTAAAATGTCCCCCAGAAGGAGAGCTTACACTTGAAGTTCTTTTCTTCAGGACTAACGTTTTTTCGAAGTATTCCAGTATCGATCGTCCACGGTGACAATCCTAAGATCTTAAACCAGATATTCGAGAAGCATAAAAATCGTAGTTTATACACTGAATAATGATGTATTGAGGTCGGTATTTCGCTGAATTCACTTAGATATTTTAGCTTCATATTTTTAAATTACTAATACAAAAAGTATTAATACTATTTCTTTGCAACTACGGCTGACTCAACAATGATTTTAAAATGCCCCAGGTTTCATTCTGTGCGTGATCAGTATACATTTTTTCCATTAGCGTTATTATGCTGACTCATATCACATCACAGTAAAAAGCATTCAAGGCCTAATAGAGGTTCATTATAAATGTTTTTATTATCTTCGATCAAATAAAATGACTGTTGATTGAAAAAATAGGAAATTGTGTCTTTATAAAATTTTTGTGAGATTAAAAATGTTTTTATGATAGAAAATTTTGATCAAATTACAAATCGTTATGTAAACCGATTTTACAACCGTTTTCACAATAAAAAAAGTCCATTCAGCAGCTAACATGGAAGTAGACTTCATCGTGAATAACACAATTACGACAATCGTAAACACATCTGTGCATATTAAGTACATTGTAAAAATATAAAATTAACAATTATATATGGGGCATTCCATGCCAAATCAGCGAGGTTTAGGCACGACCCCCATCGATTTTGCTGAAATTTTTTTATCTTTTTCTACCCTATGAAAGAGGGTTTTTAGAATTTTTTCAGATTTTTTTAGCCACTCCAAAAAAAGTTATGAATTTTTTAAAAAATCGGCTCTTTTTTTCCAATAGCTGTAACTTTTTTAGAAATTGACCTTTCATACCGTTTTTTTTTCCAAAATGTTTGTTTTTAAACGTAGTTTCTAGGAATAAATACAAAAAAAAAATCCCAGATGACTCTATAAATGAGATATTTTAGTTTTTTTTAATAAAATCATAATTTTCTCAAAGTTTGACACCATCAATTCTCAATTGTTTTGTCTAAAAAAAAACTTTAATCTATACTTAATTTAACCCCGCCATTCCGATTTTGTGACAGCTTTTTCTCTTTATTTTTTTTTCAATTAAAAAAAAAAAAGTTTAAATTTGGCTTATTTTTCGTAACTTTGCTCTGAAAATTTTTTCGATTGTTTCTGAAACCTCAGAAGTCGAATAAAATTACATTATAGCAAGCATAAAATGTACTTTCAAGGATTAGTTATTATTTTTTAAGTTTGGTTTTTCCTGCGTAATGGTGGCTTCGAAAATACAAATTTCTAACTGAGGAATTTTTTACCAACTGTTCATATTGTCTATTTGCATAAAAAAATTTATTATCGATAATGGAGATTACGTTTAATTTTTTTAAATCTAATTAAGGTTATGTCAGTTAAATGACATTAGTGTTTGTATTGCAACTGATAAATAACTCTTCTTGTCTTACGTGTAATAACTATAAGAGACCACTTGACAGTAGATAACATAGTTCATTCCATGCGTTTAGGCTTACAGATGAAAACGCCGCTAATTTTTTTTTGTTTCAGATAAGCCAATCAGCCGGAATCGTGGAGGAAGTGCGAGCCCATTTTTTTGAGGCGGGGTTGTTCAGAACGCTGTACCTCATGTTCCACACAATATTTTTAGCTCATAATTTATATTTATACTGTCGAAATATATGTGAATAAATGATAATAAACCTAAAGTTCTATCTACTTACTGGACGTAGAAAAAAAATCCTAAATAATTCCTTAAAAAACAGGCCGTCACATGGGATGACCCCCTTAAGTCATTTTCATCGTCAAATAAACCCACACAATATAATACGATGTATAGTACGAAGAAACCGAGAAAACAATCGCTACGCCGAGGAAAATGATTGAAATATTAAAATTTTAGACAATGTAAATACCCACGTTCCGTGCTCCCGCGCATATGCTTCTAATGTGCCATGCTAATATCGGTATGTGTAAGTAACCACACGCTTTCGTTGCATTATTTTTTCTTGTGACTGCGACCGACAGCAAAATTGCTTAAAAATTTTATAGCATTTTTTATATGAAGAGAATTAATTCATGGCACGTATTTTTATTATACAAAGAGATTGGTTTTAATATTCCAACAGTGACAGATTCATAAATAATGTTAATAGAAAGAACTAAAGGTACATCAATATATTAAAATGACTTATTTAAAAATTATATTTAAACAGAATTATTAATAAATATTTTTTAGGGGTGTGCGAATAGTGTTCAAATCAAATCGAATCGAATAGTACTATTCGATTCGAAATTCAAATCGAATTTTCGAATATTTGAATAATTCGAATAGTTTAAATAATTCGAATAGTTTGAATAATTCGAATAGTTCGAATGATTTAAATAATTCAAACAGTCATTTTCTGTCGATAAAACAACTAATTTTTATGTAAAAATTAATTTGTTTTATTTTATTTGACTACAGGAGTCTTCATAATTATTTGATAGTAAAGGCTGCTTATTATATTTGTAATAAAGGAGAAGGCAATATGGCCGCATGAGTGACAGTCGCGTTTCTGTGTGTGCTCCTCTATTTCTACTAGTGTTTTCGGACTGGCTATATATTTTTTATTTTGTCGAGTGTGTTACGGCTTGCCTAAAATTCAGCCTAATCTCCTGTGATAATAGTCGAACCCGACGCGATTAGCTGAGTAATAATTTCTATGAAAATTATAGCGTTCAATTGAGCAAGATTTTAAGGTTGGCTTTAGTAATCATGCTCTCTCCGTCTACCACTCGTTCCTCTCACTCTTCTACTCAGAGTCCAGAAAGTGCCGTTACAGCCGATAGAGGGCAGCAACAGACCCCTTCGCAGGGATTTTCCGACAGCCACTCCAAAGATAAAACCACTGGTCTCAGAGGACGCAGACCCCTGGCACAATCATGGCATACTCTTAAATATGAAACTCAGGGAAACCCGCTGGAGCTACTAAATAATAAAAAGAGAAGTCGCGAGCTCGAAGCAGCCTTTGAGCTAGAAGAGGACCAACCTACAAAAAAAAGACTCTCGCTTGACACCGCCACACTCATCTCCCTCCAGGAGGGCATCGTCGAGGCCTTAATTGATAGTCGAGCAATTAATTGACACCAAGTTCTCCTTTTTGAATGGTCTTAAAGCAGAAGTAGATAAAATCAATAAAACTAACAAGAAAGCCATAGATAAGCTCTCCACTGAACTGTCCACCAGGGACCAGACTTACGAAAGCAGGTTTGCTGAATTGAACAGTAGGCTGTCCAACCTGGAAATGAATCCACAAGTCGCTAACTCCTCACCCTCCGCTCTGCATAAAACCTCAGACTTCGTCGCTCCAAACTCCTCTGACACTTCCATCACAGCATACATGGAAAAGCTCAGTAAGAAAATTGACAACTTTGACAAACATTACCGTCAACAAAATATAATAGTTAAAGGCCTTGACACTAACAACATCGCAAGGCACAAGATCACAGACCTTGTTAATAATTCTATAGCCGACAACTTCAACATAGTCAAGAGCGTTGAGCAAGCGTACATAGTTGGTAAATCTGGCAACGTCATCAAAGCAAGAATCTCCTCAGCCACTCTAAAGTCTGAAATTATGCGGAGAAAAAAGACCCTTGGTTCTAAAAAGGTCTACATTGAACATGATCGGACTCCAGAGGAGCGCACTGCGGACTATGAAGCAAGACAAAGGACTAGACTTCATCGAGCAAACTCTGGTAACAACAACACATCTCAAAAGTCAAGATCTTCATCTGTGGATCCGACGTTTTCTACAGAGTATCCCCGAGGCTGTGATGCATTTTGTCTTTGGTCACATTTAGTTGTCAATTACCATTAAAATATGTTAGTAAGTATTAGATAATTAAATTAAAAAAATTATATCATTGATTAATTAAAGTATACAAAATAGCTTTTAAAAGCTAAACTAAAAAATAACATTATTTTTACTGATCCAAAAAGTTTTTTTGGTGCTTGTATCATTATAATCATAATTTTTTGTAATCCATCTACAAGCTTTGCAAATAATATTCTTTAATACGATCTGTTGAATCTGTCACAAGCGAAAATTTACTTTATTAGGTGCATGATCATTAACATGAGAATTGTGTCAATAAATAAATAAACTTACCTGACTCATATTCATTGTCTTTTCTCTCCGTGTCCATTTCTTCATTATAATAGGGTGGATAACTGAAATTTGGAAAAACTTCGTTGCGATTGTAGTTATTGTTTTGTGAATATCTATGAGTATTACTCATTTCGCCCGTGTATATCTGTTGATTTGGAGCTGGTGGCGCAAAAGTCGCTGTTAGAGCATTATAATTACCTGGTCACTCATGATTCTCTGGTTGTAAAGTATTTAACGGAGATGAAAGAGATTCCGCCTGTTAAAAATAATTACGAGTAATTGTATCCTGATATCCATGATGTTTACTGCGTGGTTTTTTTGCCAAATTTACAGGAGAATTATCATCTTTTTGCGAAGTATTGCCACCATCCAAATCAACAGATTTAGTTTTTGTTTTAGACTTGACTAGAAAAAAAAATAAAGAATTACATGATTAGTTATAAATGCACTTTAAAATTAAGATACAGAAATTTTCGAAATTATAAATACCTTGATCAGATGTTACTGTGCAAGGCTTACTCAGTGAACTAGTAATGTGTTTCATCGGATTGCTTGTACTTTCATGTACTTTTCGGGCCTTATATTTTCGTTTGTTGTCACAAATCCGAGCAACTCGTTGAGTAAACATTTTGTCCGTAATCTTATTGTCAAATTTACGATTAACCCATTCTTGAAAACAAAAAATAATTTTATAACCATTAACAATAAAACACAGCAAAGATACAATTAATTAATATTTAAACATACCAAATAATCCCTTGAAAAGATTTGGATCGATCCCCGGATGCTTTCCTGTCTTTCCTTTCGCACAGTACTTAAAAAGATTAGAACCATAGATATCCTCCAAAGTCTCTTTTATCATTAGATTCCAATCATTTCTACAGACAGCATTAGTTTCAATTATTGAAGCACGTACCCGAGATAAATAAAAACCCGAATTTTCAGAAATTTCAACCTAGAATTAATAATGTTCAAGTTAGCAATTTAGTTGTTAGAATAAAATTTTAAAATTATTATATTACTTTTTCATCTGGATTTCTGGGTTTATAGTAATGTTCTTCAATCTAAAGTTACAAATTAACATTTATTTAGTCCAATAAATATCAGTATGCTGTAAAATTTTTAATAATAATTAAAAATATTACCGGTATTGTTTTATTTGATTCATTTTTAGCTTTTATTTGACTGGCGTGTTTCGACTTCATTGCTTTTAATAATTGTTCTTGGAAAAAAATATCCCTTGACGTAACTATGAAAAATATAATTATCAACTTTAATAATATGTATTAAATGAAATTATTGAAATTTTGAGAGAATTGTATATTTTAAAAAGCACTTATAATTGATAAATATTTAAAAAAATAATTTAAGGATAAAAAAAAGTTTTGAAAGCGTAAAAGAACATCATCTATAATTATTTTCATTTTTACCAATCCCTAACTCCATCCTAGACAAGATTTCACCATCATCGCCAGAAGAGTTATCACCAGAAGAACTTTTGTGGTCAGTACTGTCGTCTCCGTCACTGAAATCTGTTTCACTCCCATTATTTTCTTTATTTTCTGTGCCCATACTATGAACTTTATTTGATGGAGATTTAAAACAATGACGATTTACATCAGAATCTGTAGTATTGTCATTTTCTAATAGCTTTCTTTGACTTGTAGGTGATGAACTTTTTCGAAGTCCAGAATTATCATCACTTGAAGTCAATGAACTTGCTAACACTGGACCTGCTAATACTGGATTTACTCCAGTAAATTGCATAGTATTGGCTTGTGATAAGCTATTGTGCATGAAAATTTTACTTGATTGAGAATTATATGAAAACGGAGGTTGACTAGGAATTAAAGATGTTGATGTTGCAGAATTCGGATATCCAGAGATCATTGAATTACCAAAAATGGGCTGATTACTTCTTATTTTTATATCTATACTTTTATTTTAATTGACTCTTTCATGTTATTGTGTAACTTTTTTTTTTGCTTAAATTTTTGCGATTGGTTATCACCTCAGCAGTAAAAATTTTTTGTGATCGATCATGGATCTCCCCTTCTGTTGTTACTGTTTCGTTATCTAAATCTTCTTTATCTAAAAAATTAAAACATTAATTTTCATTAACAAAAAAAAATCATTGTGATGCATGCGAGTTATAAAAATCATAAAAATTATTGTCATTATTTATATATTATCAAATATTAAAATAAAAAAATGAGATGATAAAATCAAAACACCCACCAATTTCAGTAAAATTTAATAAAAATCAATTAAAATAAAAAAAAATTCTACAACTACACACTCATAATTTTTCTTTTAATTTCCATAAAATTTTTTATGATTGCAAATCTAGAAAGCATTAATTTTTTAGATTTAAAAATAAAGTAGTAAATAATTAAAAAATTATTCATTTAAAAAAAATGCACTTGTAAATTTTTTAATTTAGTAAAAATAGATTTTCTTATTTTTTAATTTATTTATGAATCGCTAATTTTTTTCTTTTCAATTTTAAAAATCAAATTAATCAAATGTTTGCTACATTGACAGTCATAAATTTTCTCCATAATAATTTAATTCTTACAAAAATCAAAACAATTCTTACATTTTTATTAGTTTCAAAATCAATTAATATTTAATAATTTATTTATAGATTGTATTTACTACCAATTTTCAATACTTTAATTTCATATTTTTTTGGTTTAGCTTTATCATCCATCCAATTCAATGAGGTTATAGCGTTAACCTTACGATTGTTTTTATTGATTAAAGATAATTCAATTACATCACTTTTCCTACAATTAACCCACCAGATTAACGCATATTTTTTCCTTCTTCCGGCTGACATTATAAATTATAAATCAGTATAAGTACACGAGTTTTATTAAAACTTACAAGACGGACTGTTTGAAGATAGCAGTAAAGTAAACAAAGCTCTATTAAAATGGCGGTCGTCAGGAGTCGGTATTATCGATATCCTCTTGTAGTAGTACTGCATTACCCAAAGGGTGCTAAGGCTACTTTTGACTGTTATTCACAATAAAATATATTAAAAAATATGATTGGTTGGCGATGAACTCCATCTTGACTTTCAATTTTCCCGCGTTTATACTACCAATAAGAATTTTTTTGCTAATCCAGCTGTTTACTGCTATAAAAATTGGGCTTAATGAGTTAAAAATTAATACGAGGATGCTTGGAGTGTTTACGTCTATAAGTGATTAAATATTTATTCTAAGATAAATAAATAAATCAATTACTTCATTGCTATAAATAATGTGACGACATATTTCTTTTTTAAAATCAATTTAATTTTGAAATATAGTCATGGCTTATAAATCGATTGATAGTGTTGGTGTAAGACAGCTCCGAAATAGACTGAACAACTTACGCGATTATGTTAATGATAATGAATTGAATCGAAATATTGAACAAGTGAATCCAAACGAAGCAGAGTAAGTTTTATATATTTTATTCACTCTAAGCTTAACTTGTCAAATATTAATTAAATTACACTCTTTTATAACTATTGTAAGTTGATAAATTTCTTTGTCTTGATATGCAATTTATTTTACAGAGAAAAAAATGAGCAGCTGAATTTGGATCGTCTACAAGATAGAAATGATGAAGTTATTTTTCCAGCTGTACCCATGGATAATCATGAACAGTATGTATTTAATATTTATCACCTTTTGTAAATCAGCTTTATTGAAAGATTTAAAAATTTATGATTGTTGAAAAAGTGCACAATAGTTTTTTTTTTAAATTAACCAAAAAGTCTAGTTAATAATAACAACTTAATAATATTTACATCTCACCAAAACTATAAAATTTATGTTTGCATTTCTTTGAGTTGTTGTTTTCTATTTATTTATTTATTTATTTATTTATATTTATTTATTTATCTGTTCATATGAAAATTAATCTAGCAGATATTTGTTAGTTTTATGAATTTTTTTAACAAATTAATTATGGCAAAAAAATAAAAAAAAATTGACATTTAGAAATTTTGAAAAATTGAAAATGCAATTTTAAAAAAAAAACTTACTTTTTTCGAAACAAAATAACAAGTTTGTTTGGTAAAAAAATTTCTTAAAATAGTAAAGTGACTGGCTAACTTAAATGTCATTCTATTTAATTTGAAACATTGTTGCATGATATTTACATTTACATTTATTAATTCTAAGTTTTTCACTCGATTAAATTATCAAGTTATATTCCATTACTTTTATGAAATCTTAATGTTAGTATTCTTTTTCACTAATTATATATTTTACAGAAATGATCGTCAAGTACTCTTTAGACTTGGAGAAATGGAACTTTTGGATGATGAACTTGATGCTAGCGATGATGGTTCTAATGATGAAGATATCTTGGAAGCAGGTGTAAATAATGATGATCATTGTGATGGTTATGATGATGACAATGTTACTGAAAATGAAGATGATAATGATAATGAAGATGACCCCAACTATGAAGATAATAATAGAAATCGACAGCATAACAATATACATCAACAACAACCTCTTTACAATGGTTCTCATATAACTGTTGGAGACAGTATGTTAATAATTTTATCTTTTCTGTTACGTCATAATTTGACAATGGTTTGCATCGAAGATATTATCAAAGCTATAGAATTGCATTGTTTGCAAGATGGATTAAAAAAAAATAGTCTATACAAGTTTAAAAAATATTTTCAACTCGATGAGACAACAAACACCAAAAAACATTATTATTGCTAGGTTTGTGTTCGAGAACTGGATCATCAAAACGATGAATGTTCGTCTTGCGAAGAAAAAAAAAATTCGTACTTTGTCCAACTGTCTATGACAGGTCAATTAAAAGAAATGTACCGACGACAAGGCTTCTACGAAAAATTGCAATGGAAATTTAGAAGACCGGTTCCTCCTCCTGGTACTATCACCGATATCTATGACGCAGAACTTTATAGAGAATGGTGTCATAATGGTTTTTTATCTAATCCTGATAACATATCGTTCAGTTGGTATACTGATGGTATACCTGTTTATAAGTCATCACATATCAGTATATGGCCATTTTACCTGACGATCAATGAGTTGCCTTTTGAAGAACGTAAGAAGAGGGAAAATACATTACTTTTAGGATACTGGTTTGATGATAAAAAACCAATTATGAACAATTTCATATACAAGTTTCGAGAGGAATTACAAGAAATTGCTCAAGGAGTTGCAGTTGATTTTCCAGGTAACATCCAAAGAATCGTGAGAGGTGTGATGCTCATGGGTGTTTGTGATCAGCCGGCAAAAGGCGATTGTTTTAATTTCGTGCAGTATAATGGTGACTATGGCTGTACGTCTTGCTTGTCGAAAGGAGAACTATTGCATACAGATGCAGGTGGCCATGTTCATGTGTACCCTCATGAACTTCAAATACATCCAAGAACGTCTGGGCAAACGGTGGCACACGCAAATCTTGCAACACCAGGCGAACCTGTGATGGGGGTGAAAGGCAATTCTGCTCTATTTTTAATTATGCCTGATTTCATTCGAGGTACAGCAATAGACAGAATGCACTGTTCTGATGGTGGTGTTATAAAAAAAATACTAACTTTGTTATTCGATGCTGCCTACAGTAATGAGGTATTTTCATTACGCGCCGTTATGGATCAAATAGATCATCGACTGATGAGTATAAAGCCGCCCAAGTTTATACACCGCATGCCTCGCTCAATTAATGATTTGAAACATTGGAAAGCATCGGAATTTAAAGTATTTTGTTTTTATTATGCATTACCAATATTCGAAGGTATTATGCGTTTTGACTATTTTCAACATTTATTAAAATTGATTTGTGGATTATACATTTTAAGCTGCGATTCTATTGATGTTAACATGGTTGAAGTAGCTCGTGATCTTCTGAATTGTTTTATTCGAGACTTTGAACAATTGTATGGATTAAGATATTGCTCCATTAATATACATTTATTAATCCATTTACCTGACTCGGTGAAAAATTTAGGACCTTTATGGGCTCACACCTGCTATGAATCTGAAGATCTAAATGGTCAATTATTAAAATTATTGCATGGTACGTGGCATATTGATAGTCAGCTAACAAGATCTCAAAGTCAGTTTATAACAATGGCAAGATTTATTGAACTGTCAGCCAATGAAAATGTACGTAATTTTTGTCAGAACAAAAAAGTACACTCCAAAATTTTGGATCAAATTTCGGATAATTACTACAGTGTTGGCAATTATAAGTGTCTTGATAATGAGGATATTCCATTAATAATTATGCTTGCAATGCAACGAAGTGAATTATTAATGGATAATATTACCATAAGACTATATTTCAGGCTTATTAAAAATAATAAAGTATATGTCTCCAAAATGTATAAAGATAACATGCAAACTCAGTCTTCAGTGGTGCAATATCTAAAAAATGGCCAGCTCCGATTTGGACTGATTTATTGTTTTATACAATGGTCACGCTGTATTTGTTTACAAAATATTTGTAATTGTAACATTAATCATCACTTTGCTGTTATTCGAGAATGAGCGGCAAACGACGTATTTGTTGCTAATGGTGATAATTTTTTATATGATACCAGGTCATTTTTATGCAAATGTGATGAAATCATTGAAGCTGTTGCGGTAGATTCATTAGTAACACCTTGCTTCTATATAAAAATTCAGGCACAAATCTATGTAGCAGTACCGATAAATAACAAGGAACGAGAATAATACAAGTATCAATGAAGTTTTATCACCATTTTTGCCAGAATCTAATTACATTTTATGTATTAAATATTATGTCAGAAACATATTTAAGATTTACTTCTTTTTTAATTAAAAATATGTATAAATTCATTAATCATCTTTGTTTGAAGAACATACATTGTATATTGTGAAAAAATTCTTTACAAGTTATAAATAATTATTGTTAATCGTATTTATTAGCTTTTTTAAGATTTTTTACAATTGATTTTTATGATTAGTTTAATTTATCAATAATTGTTTATAATAAATAAAGTTTTATTTATAACTTTTATCGGAATTGAAGATTTTAAATCGGATCTCTCGGTGAACGATCGGACCGAGGAGTTCAAAATCCGATTTCTCGGTAGACAGTACGTCCAAGACGTTCAAAATCGGAACTAGTCGGACCATGGAGATCAAAGTACGATCAATTTCGGATCAGGAGGTTCAATATACGAACTAGTTGGATCATCACGCTCAAAGTACGATCAATTTCGGATCAAAACGTTCAAAATCCGATCAAAATTTCGACTCGGGTTATATTGACTTGGAAAAAAATTACGGTCGTCCTCCGTACTCCGGAACCTTTCTATACCACCCTCGCATTTAATTGGTAAATTTGAAAATTATGAGAAAAATACTTGTATGCTTTTTGTATACTCCAAAAAAATTCTGGAGTATTTACTACACTTATATCGACTTAGAAAAAAATTACGGTCGTCCTCCGTACTCCGGAACCTTTCTATACCACCCTCGCATTTAATTGGTAAATTTGAAAATTATGAGAAAAATACTTGTATGCTTTTGTTTATTCCAAAAAAATTCTGGAGTATTTACTACACTTATATTGACCTGAAAAAAAATCACGGTCGTCCTCTGTACTCTGAAACCTTATTATTCCACCCTCGCATTTTATTGGTAAATTTGAAAACCATGAAAAAAATACTTGTATGCTTTTGTTTACTCCAAAAAAATTCTGGAGTGTTAAGGATACTTGGGCAAGCTTAGAAAAAAATCACGGTCATCCTCCGTACTCCGGAGCCTATTTATTTTACCCTCGCATTTTATTGGTAAATTTGAAAACCATGAAAAAAATACTTGTATGCTTTTGTTTACTCCATAAAAATTCTGGAGTATGTACTACACTTCTATAGACTCGAAAAAAAATCACGGTCATCCTCCATACTCCGGAACCTTTTTATTCCGCCCTCGCATTTCATTACTGAATTTTGAAAATTATAAAAAAAATACTTGTATGCTTTTGTATACTCCAAAAAAATTCTGGAGTATTTACTACACTTATATCGACTTGGAAAAAAATTACGGTCGTCCTCCGTACTCCGGAACCTTTCTATACCACCCTCGCATTTAATTGGTAAATTTGAAAATTATGAGAAAAATACTTGTATGCTTTTGTTTATTCTAGAAAAATTCTGGAGCATTTACTACACTTTTATAGACTTGGAAAAAAATTACGGTCGTCCTTCGTACTCCGGAATCTTTTTATTCCACCCTCGCATTTCATTCGTGAATCTTAAAAATTATGAAAAAAATATTATATGCTTTTGTTTACTCCAGAAAAATTCTGAAGTGTTAAGGATACTTGGGCAAGCTTAGAGAAAAACCCCGGTCGCCTTCCTTACTCCGGAACCTATTTATTCCACCCTTGAAATTCATTGGTAAATTTGTAAATTACGAGAAAAATACTTGTATGCTTTTGTTTACTCCAACGAAATTCTGGAGTATTTACTACACTTATATAGACTTCGAAAATATGACGGTCATCCTCCGCACTCCGGAACTTGGTCAATCCATCATCGTATTTCACCCGTGAAATTGAAAAATCAAAAGAAATTACTCGCACGCTTTTTATCACTGAAAAAGAAAGTATTGTGGAGTGTCTATCACATTCGTATAAACTTACAAATTTCAAGATATATATTTCATTCGTTATACTGTAAAATGAAAATATTTTTAACTCTGCTGACTGTACTCGTATGCTTTAGTATGCTTTTGAGGGACGTCCGTAGTACAGTGCTCATTCATTAACAATTAAGCTCAAACTTTTATTATAGCAATAATTCATTTTACGTTTGATATATTTTAATTTTTATTGATTCAACTTTTACATTTTTAATATATTTTGTTTTTTCCACAGGTTTTACCTTCAATACGATGAATTGTTCCGCTTCCTAACTCTACCTTCCTATCATCTTCACATTGTTCCAGCCTTTCTGTTTTGTCGCAAACTCTCCAAGAAGGAGAGTTTCCGTAATTATTTTGTTCTTCTTAATTATTCAGGATCAGGATCAGGATATCTAATTTAAAAATAATACACTCGGTGTTGGGGTGAATAATTATAAATAATTTATTCCCCAATGGGAGAAAACTCTAGCAATGACTAGAGAAAAACTCCTCGAAGATAGATACAATTGTATGTAATAAGAGTATGTGTGTGTATGTGAAATGAGACAAATTGTACTTGGCGTACAATAGGGGTGAGGGGTGACCTCAACCGCCTTTGAGTTTTTGAAGGTACTCGTAATTTGTTTATATTGATCCGAGAAGATCGAATATATTTGTAATCTGAGAACAGAAGCTAATTAATTGAATTGAGATGAATTATTAATCACGTTGAATGAATAATACTCGCGAGACCTTATATTAATTGTAATGTTTGATAATGAACACGTGAGAAGCACTATGTTCTATGATTTCACTATAAATTAAATTATATTCTGAAACTAACTTAATTGGAATCTAATTAATTATTATTATTGCAGCAAACATTGAAAATTAAAATGATATTACTCATTGATGATGAAATCCCGAGTTCTTTTTGCACGTTGTGTAAATTAAAACAATGTCCGCGACGCCACGACAAAGTACCGCGTCGTAAGCACTAAAGATGCCTATTTTATTTCGATGAATTTATTTTTATGTTATGATAAGTTAAAAAACACGAGTTGAATTAAAATTGAATAATTAATCTAATATTAATTTGAATGTATTATTATGTCATTTAGTCACAAACGGAAAAGCACAGAATAGCGATGCAATTATTAGCGAGGCTAGCGGGTATATTGTGTAGGTTACAGGTCCCAAACACAACTGAGATATGCACATGGCGTCAAGTGCCTCGTGCTTTGTGCCGGCCGGGCTTCTTCCCGCTAGCTCATGGTGCGCAGGTGCAGCAGCCATTACCAATGCGTCATTGGACATGTTCGTAAAGAACAGTCATAGAAATGACTCTTATTGAGTCTCGAGTATAGTAAGAGTTTTAATATAATAAAGAGTCGGGGTGACCAACTCCCTTTGGTACAATTAAGAGAATCAGGGTGACCAATTCTCTTTTGCCTTGGCGGCAAAACACTTTCCTTCCTGTACTTTTTCACTAATTTACTGTATTCATATAACTACCTTTTTAAATATCAATAAAATTATACTTGAAAATTTTTGTTATTATTTATTTTTTTATGTAAGTAGAGTTTTTACATTTTCCGAACGTGCCGAGGACACGATCTTTGTTGACTTCATCAATTCATCTCAACGCCTATAACTGTGAAACAGAACGTACAAGCAGTTAAATCTCAGGTGAGTAACACTTGTTTTTGCTATTAATGACGATATTAGCCGCTCAGACAAACAAGATGCTATTTTATAATTTCTAAATTATAATCTGTTAAAAAATCAGTTTATTTTTATACTAGGTTCAATTTTGTTTATCTGACCGTTTTCCAGGACACGCCACGAGGAGGCTATCGTCTTATCGAAAAATATAATCGGTATTTTTGCTAATGATTCTGATATATTTTTCAATTTGAGTTAAAGAGCATTATGACTATGAGCTATAATTTTTTCTGTTGTCTAACATTCAATTACATACCGATTATCCTTTTCGAATGTGTCCCAACCCCCCTCCCTTCTTATCCTACTTTTAATGCTCATGTTAAACATTTCGTTTTAATTCACTTACCTTAATACTTTTCATCAATTCAACTGATACCATAGGTCATTTATTCTGAATGATTAAAATAGTTACATAGTATTTTAAAGTTATATTTATTTATTCATGATCCCAAAGGATCGAATTATTTAATATTAAGAAGATATCTAGATCTGAATATATTTATTACTATCTTATCTGATCGAACATCATAGTTCTATATGATATTGCTCTAATTTATTCTTGATCCAATAGGATCGAATTACATTCATCGCATCAAATTTATATATTTCATACAGTTATGATCTAGTTAGATTTAACATTAAAGTTTTCAATGATGTTTCTTTGATTTATTCTTGATCAAGTAGGATCGAATTACATTTATAGGATTAAATTTTTATAGTTTATACGGTCTTGACCTAATTAGATCGAATATTATATATAATGTCGATAATTATATATCAACTATAGTTTGCTATGATTTTTTTTTATTTATTCTTGATCCAATACGATCGAATTACGATTATAGCATTCAATTTCTATATTTTATACTGTTATGATATAATAAGATTTGATGTAATAGTTCTCTATGATGTTTTTTTTTTATTTATTTTTGATCCAATAGGGTCGAATTACATTTATAACATTAAATTTCTATATTCTACACAATCTCGATCTAATCAGAATTAATATTATAGTTCTCTATGATGTTTTGGCGTTTTATTCTTGATCCAGTAAGATTGAATTACATTTATAGAATGATATTTCTATTTAAAATTCTGATATAAGACTGGCTACAATAGATAGATTTCATAAGAAATCTACCCCGAAATTAAATTTTAACTATGATTTCACTGAAAAAAAGAAAATTAATCGTATTTAAGAGAAGAACTTTTGAACAAAGAAATTATTATGTATTGTTTTATCGTCTTGAGTGACGACGAAAAATTTTTGAATCAATTAAAACTTATTTAAACCTAGATCAATTTTTCTATCAAATAATTTTTAACCGTAACTACCGAAACGATTAATATCTTTA